GCTCAGCGAATAGTTAAAGTGATCCGAACGTCGATAGAGTGAACTACATGTCGTCCACTGGCGGGAATCGCCGGGGTGCTTTGCGACATACGGGAGACCATATACTCTTTGGGGATATACTCTTTGCGGGAGACAGCAGCAGACAGGCTGGGCCAGGGCTGAACAATGGCGGCAGCGGCAATCTGGTGATCGCTGGTGATCGTCAGCACCTGCCAGGGTCGGAGTTAGAAATAAATAATCGGAAGGAGTCTGCGAGAGGTCACAATAGGTAAATCTTTGTACACTCTGAATGAGATAATTCGTTCCGTTTGTTGATGATAACATCGTGTCATTTAGGGTACAGTGTTCCTAGCAATCGAGTTTACCTAATATTTTTGAACTGCCAAATTTGCGACTTCGGTGTATTATTGTGGTGGCGGTTGTGTTTTAGGTGAAAGATACGGTGTTGTAAATAATGTTGAAAAGGTTATGTTAAAAGACTCGCATTTTTCACGTTTTTGAGTTAATGCCGAAGAGTAATATGGCAGATACATTTTCCACCATTGTTCGTCCGGACTTCAATACTGAAAAATGTAAGTGAAATATGTAAGGATTTTTTCCTTTTTAGTACCTACATTAATTTTTTGTAATATAATTTACACATGGAATCTTCAAATGTGAATGAATTAACTCGAAAATGCATTGGTGGTCATGAACTTCAGCAATAGAGACAGAAAATTCAAAGCCTTGCAGATGAAACTTGTGTTCTATTGAAGAAAAATGTGTACTAAAACTATATGCAGTTTATTGAAACAGTGTTAAATAAAATAAGAACACATGGACTTACAAACTGTTTATTGATGTGTGTGCAGGCTACATCCATACAGCTCGATCGTCAGGACGAGAATGAAGGAATGCGCTTCATGCGTACTCTAATATACAAACAGTCACTAATTGCATAGTAATCCTATAGATGTCAGTAGATACAATTTCTCTAATATAAATGTACGTAAATATTCCAACAAAAAGCAAAAGAAAAATCACGTATCCTTAAAAAGTAAGTTATACTGGCATATTTTTTTCTATTTAAAAATCGAATTTCAATTTAATATAATATTAAGAATGAAATCTTTATTAATTTCGGAGAATCAGAGGTTTTCCTTTTCCTTAATTGTAAATTAGATTTGGAAAGTGAAATGTATCAGTTATCCCGATTGTTGACCGAACAAAATTCTTTACTTTCTTCATTAACAACTATGTCTCTTCTTGGTGATAAAATTCCTAGTACAGTAGAATCAAAATAAGCCGTTGATGCAAACAAGTTGATGAAGAAAAGGAGGAAGACGAGAGAAGGCTAAAAGTAGCTGCAGATCTTGAGAAAGTGGAGGGTGCAATGATTTGTATTACAGGAAGTAATTTTTTCATTTTTTTTTAAATGCTGTGAAACAACCAACTAAAATGATTTTTGTTTTAGGTTATTTTGGAAGTATTACTCAGGCAACTTTTCTTGAACGATGGATTGAGGACCAGGAAGAGTTCTTTTGCATGAAGGCACATTACTGGAACTGGACCCCTTGCACAATAAACCAATTCCTCAAATACAAGCTTATTTACTTAATGATGTTTTTATGTTGGAATGTGCACAGGAATATTTCCAGACATTTCCAAAACAGCAAAAATTAAGCCACTTTGTAAAAAGGGGAACAAAAATGAAATTCAAAATTACCGGCCAATTTCTCTTTTGTCAGGTTTTTCTAAAATATTAGAGAGGCTTTTCTATACGCAAATGGAAACTTTTCTCAGGAAAAACGAAGCGTTTACAGACTCACAAGAGGGTTTTAGAAAATCAAAATCTGCGGAAACTGTCATTTTTTCTTTTCTTTAAGATGTTACATAAATGGACGAAAATGAAACACCCATTGAAATATTTTTAGATCTTTCGAAAGCTTTTGACGTTATTGACCATAATATCTAGTTATCAAAATTACCTTCTTATGGAATTCGTGGAATCGCCCTAGATTGGATAATCACGTACCTTAAAAATCAATATCAAAGAGTAGAAATACCGTACTGGCACGAAAGGACATTATTTACTTATCTTTTCAATTTACGAATTGAATATGGGGTCCCGCAAGGTTCTATCTTAGGTTCTATCATCTTTCTGCTATACGTAAACGATATGCTGTCGTGTATTAAAAACGGAAGAACGGTTCTGTTTGCTGATGACACGAATGTTCTTTGGAAAAAAGAAACAATAAATAGTACGAATTCAGAAGTTTCAAATTGGTTTTGTAATAACAAATTAATAGTTAACGAAGGAAAAACACTTTCAGTGCATTTTTTTCTTTCCAAATCAGTAATCGCATGCTTCATTTAAAATTAACAATATGCAATGTTCAGGTAACAAAATTTCTAGGTCTCTCAATTCAGTCAAACCTCAAATGGAATGTACAGATAACAAAATTAAACACTAAATTAAGTTCATTATGTTATGCGTTCATAAATCTTCAAATTCTGTCAGCCTTCATGCAGCTCGTTGCTCGTTGCTATTTTGCAAATGTACATTCCCGCCTGAAATATGGTGTAAAATTCTGGGGAAACTCATCATGTAGTACTCAGACCTTTAGATTGCAAATGAAAATTACTCGAATAATGAAAAAATGCCATACGCATGATCCCTGCAAGCCTCTCTTTATTGAGCTTTGAATCTTACCACTGCCTTGCCTACACATTTACGAATCTGTAATATTTGCCAAAAGTGACTTTCTTAAGGAGACATATTTTCATGCAATACTGATATTTATAATTACAACACACGTCGTAAAAATCACTTTCATCTAGTGTCAGTATCAACAGCTCACTATCAGAAATCCACATACAATACATGTACGTTACGTTACAACGCGTCGCCTGAACAATTGAAGTCAATTCACAAATTAAGTTAAAGGTAAAATATTTTGTTCTATAACAGTTTCTGTACAATTAGAGACTATACTGATCAAAAAGAAAAATAATGTGTATTTTAGCAACACAGTGATGTATAATAAATTAGTTTACGTTTGTTTTGTAATTTTTTTAAGGCTTAATATGCTTGTAACAAATAATGTACTTCAGCTTCCCGGTCAATGACCCCCATTTCGGCTAGGTTTTTGTCCAGTTTCCCTGATCCATTGAGCAAATACTGAGATTGCCCCTTGTTTTGTTTCTGGACGTAAATGTAGCTTCACTATGCGCACGTTTTGTTGAACTCTCCCCTTGCTTGTAGTGGTAGGAGTAGAGGTAAGGGCGTGTTACTATTTTGTTAGCAATGCAGAAAATAAAAACTGCAGTTCGTTTACCGTTGCAAATACGTTTTCTTTAACTCGGGAACGGAAATTTCTAGTTTTTCAAATGTTAATCTCGCGCTTTTTAAATTTTATTTATTTATTTGTTTTTAACTTTAACTCATCTTTCAACTATTTATAGTCGAAATGAGGAGAAAGGATTCTGACGCTCAAGAAAACGTGCGCAAATTAGCTTTCCCCCTTTACATCACATACAGTTTTTACTGTATTTTTACTACATAAATATGAATCTAAAAATGTAGATATGTCACAGGGTTGTACCCATTTGTTTTTTAGGTGACCAAGCTACGCAAATGTACATCTTCTGTTGGAGAGTTCATTATTTCAGAGCATGGTTTTACTCCCCTGGCAAAAATATGCTAGTGAACTCTTTTTGCCTGGTATTAGTCGAATAAAGCAAATCATTAAAGAAGGTACAAATTGTTATTGACCCATTGTGCACACATTTTCCTCACCTTCAGTTGCTCGTGGATGATGTTAGGGAGGGTCCCCGCTAAATACCTATCGCCTTCTCTAACTCGTCAAACGTGATTCACCTGTTTGACATTATCAAGCCATTAACGCGCTGGGCATTGTTTGGTCGGCGTGCAGTGGCCATAAACCCAAAGCTTTTGTGTTTGTCGTCACAGACCCGCCGCCTTTGAACTCTGATACCCAACGAAACACGGATCTGCAAACTTTGTGATGATGCCCACGTATGGCTACCTACCTTTTATGGATGTCAGAAGCAGTCACTTCTTCCCTCCAGAGAAAAAACACAGTCCACCGTTGCCCATACTTGTCTGCTTCCATATTGTCTTATTGATGTCCATCAGCTTACTGGCACTCCGGAAACGTTTGGTGCTACAATGTGCTACCTAGGGGAAGCAGCAACACCATTTCATATCTGTAGATAGCAGTTAGATAATCTTCATGCTTTCGAAAACACATTTCAAACTGCTGTTCTGCAGAAGATGGAAGTCAAACAATATTGAAGAAACTAAATGGCTGGCCACTTCTCTGCTCCAGCTTTCCCGGAACGGAGCGTCAAAAGCTCTGAATCGAAAGGATATATTCTTGAATTTATTTGTAGCGGCCTCTGACGTAAATCACTTGTAACGGTATTATCCAATCAGGTTGAACGTCATAGTGACGTAAGAGCTCCCGGTTGAATGACACCGCAACAGTTGCTGACCTGTCAGAGAC